TAAAGATTAAGTCATTTAACATTGGTTTGACAATGACATTATGAATCTCTTGTTGATTATATCAAAAGGTTTAGAGAGACAAAAAACGATGTTATAATATTCATATTTTTGAAAGCGATCCTATTGAATTAGATCTTAATGGATTATGATCTCATATATTGAAGAAAAATTAGAGTGCTGCTAATTCATAAATATTAACCAAGTTCAGAAAAGAGCTTGGGCTCAGGAAAGCCAAAGTAAAGATTTAAAGCTAAAGCCTGATTATCCTGGTATGCATAAGGTTACTTGTGATTCCGAGTGTTTGGACGATGAATGCAAAAATGTTTATGTTGCTGAGTTTGTGGGGTTTCCTAAAAATTAACCATATGCTTGAATACCTTAAAGCCGATTCATAAAATCGCCAGAATGAGATGAAATTTACTTTTTATACATCCAAGTGCGACAGGATCTTTGAAGAGTTATTAAACAATGGGAAAATCAAGTTGTCTCATACTATACCACCGCTTGCTAAGTTAAAGCAGTGTGCCTATTGTAAATGGCATAACTCATATTCCCGTGCAACCAATTATTGTAATGTTTTCTATGTAGGCAAATATAATTGGCCACTAATGAAGCACAATCGCTTATTATGGGAATGTAGATTGCTAATGATCCTTCCCCGATCCATGCCCTTGAATTGCAGAATCCAAAAGTATTATTTTGGTCAAATCAACTAAAGGCAAAAATGTGATCATTAGAGAAGAAAGGCCTAAACTTTAGAACAAAGACAAGCAAAAGCTATTGGAGAATAGCTTCAATGGTACACAAAAGACTTTGACGCAAAATGCAGGGTCTGTGGAGACCATCTTAGCTGGTTTTTCTAGGAAACTAGAAAGAGCTCCAAATTCAAAAACAAGGCGAGGCTGAGATTTGAGGAGCTTTTGGATAAATACAAGAATAAATGAGCTATTTAGAAGTGGGAAAATTGACCAAGGAAGGAGGAGTTGAAGCCATTGACAAGACAACAAGAACAACTAGGTCATCAATCACAAGGTAATCGATTACTGTGTCAATTACTCTATGGACTTGGTTATATCCTTGCAATTACTCACCTTGGGAATACAATATATGCAGTCATATTTGATTCAATATTCTATGCATACTCAAACAATAATTCATCACCACAAACTGAATGTTGTTAGTAATCTAGTCAAGGGTACATCCTCTGATGATAAAGAAACTAAGGACAATAAGAAAAGTTTCTACATCTCCATAGCCAAGGAGGTGTCCCTCACGCATAGCTCACACACAAAAGAGAAGACTGCATTGAATGTTCAAAGAAAGGCCAATATGGAGCAACAAGTATAGGTTATGCTAGCGAAACCTTAGTATAAGCCAACATATACAAATAAGGTATGGAAGCCAAAACAGGTTGCTTATACATCTACTTGAGTTTGATCAAGAGTTACGACCAATAACATGATTATCACCATTAGAATAAAATATGACCGATGAGTTAATCAACGTCCTTAGAATTCCTAGTATAAAAGAAAGTTTTTTAGTATGCAATCCGTACTGGAAAAAACAAGGGCCGCATGTTGACACTCATAATTGGCCAAACGAAGCAAATCTGGGCAAAATTAGGGAAACTGACTTACTGGCTTTCGAACTTTGTGAAATTGTAAATTAGACTTCACCATTGTGTTCTTCTTGTCAAGGTGATCGAAATGCATATATAGAAGGCCAAATTTGGTGTCCGGATGAGGAAATTATGATTCCAGGAAGATCCAGCAAATTTTGGTAGCCCAGATTTGAGTTTGAGTTGTATTTTGACATGATCTGTATGGCATCTCAATCCGCTGTGGAATAAGTCGACCTCACCGTACAAATATAAAACATCACGGTCAATTGAGAGTACAAAAACACAATCAATCTACTATTTTATCTTAATCTGCTATTCCCTCAAAGCTTCTCGACGATATTTGTGGACATCTAGGTAGCCTTGCCGATCTAAAAGAATATAACAACTCTAGGTATGCCTGCCCCAAGGAGATCCTTCCTAGGAGGCGTTCGCAGGTTTTTATCATGGCAGATCTGCCGAAATAGAAACCAGCTAAACCGGTTTTTCCTGAGTGGATGCAATTCGATCCTCGAGTGGTGAGAGCGATCCTGTGCCATTTGGATATGGTAGCCCGTTGGCTGTGGGACCAGATTTCCATTAATACTCTTGATCGTTATTTGTGGGTGTGACTGTGACCTGGCTGAATTCACCCCCTGTTGTCTCTTTTTTCTATCATCTAATAAAACATTCAGCAAAATCTGCTACTGTCCTTTCTAAAAAAAAATTAGTGCAACTAGATCCATGGTTCAAAGGAAACAATAGTTAGTGATGAGAAATCAAGAAGAACCTAAAAGAAACAGCACAAAACAAATAAATTAAGTGCAGCGCCACCATAGTGGCCCTGCACGCATCGGTTACTCTCCCTCGACCATCCACAAGCATTACGGTGAGTAGGTGACCAACATTATTTCCTGTCGTCGTTGTTGATTGCCTGTTCATTGTCTCCATCCAACTGCGAAAGCAAGAAAACAGCAATTAATTAATAAAGTACCCCTACAATGGAATTTTGTGAAACAGAGACAAACTAGCTAGCACTACTCTATTGGGATGTGTTTGAGTGATGAGTGATGGACTAATAACGACTAATGAGCAGATAGAGTGGCAGTACCTCCTGTTGCTGGGACTGTTGGGATGTGTTTCAAATGCCTGCCTAAACGCCTCGTCTGCCTCGGCGTGCGCTTCGGTCTAATCAAAGTGGTGGAAAAAAACACTCACTTCCTGAAGCAAATTGAGGTTCCCCAATGCACTAAAATTGAAACCGATGTTGGCATCCTTCAGTGCCTCAACATCGATTTCAAAGTGAACATATTCTGGGCATAGCTCCCAGCATAAATATGGGCGGCACCTCCGTGTTGAAGCACCTCAGCTTGGGGAATAATAATGCACCACCATTGATGACGACTGGGGAGAAATGATCAGATGGCCTCCGAAGCACGAGTGTGAGGAGCTCTGGGAGCCTCCCAAGGATCTCCAGGTCCTGTGCCTCCAGATCCTTCATGTGTATGCGTAGGTGGGAGAGGTTAGACAGAGCAGACGAGTTAACCCATACTGGCAGTCTGGAGAACCATGCATGTCCCTATATGCAAACGATGGAGTTGTCGAGATGGCAGGTAGCCTTCCCACGAGGCATTATTCTCTAAGTTCCAGGACCTAGAGTTTCTTCAGATTCAGTAGGGACTCCAACAAAGCATCGTTCCAGCTCTCATCACCAATCCTTACCCAGTGTGTGAGCAACCTTAACTCTGTCAGTTTCCCCAATCTTTCAGAAAGTTAAGGGAAAGGCTTGTATATGACAACCATAGCTCTTCCAGGGATGTCAAGCTCCCCATGCTATCAGGCAATCTCATGGAAGGATTATCACTGACAAGGCACTTGAGTTGTTCCAGCAGGCCAATACTCTCTGGCAGCTCTTTTATCCGAGTTCCCCTCAAGTACAGTGTCTGCAAAAACTTGAGATCCCCTACTTCCTTGGGTAGATCACTAACAGGTGTGTTCCGTAGTCCTAGGTACCTCAGCTGAAGTAACATTCCAAGATGTCCAAGATGACCAGGGCGATCTTCCATAAAAGTACAATCTTCTAGAGCTAGGACACGCAAAGGCCGAAAACTTGTAAATGATGTCAACATATCGATGTTACACATGATGGAATTGAACGACCTTAGTTTTCGCATCCCGCTTGTCCTACACAAAGTTTCATCCTTCCCTATGAGGCTCTTCTTCTGCAACGCCACTCTGCGGACATTGCTGTGTGAAAATAATATGTGGTGCTCACTATTATTATCCAATATAGTAACAAAATTTTCTTCGTTAGACAACTGGCATATCATATCAAGCACCATATCATGTACATGACAACCAATTATGACTCCTTGATTGGGGTTTCTATCGGTTGAATCATGTTTCTATTTATGAGCTCATTGAAGAATCTCTCTCCGAGCTCAAATAACCTTATCCTTGATTGCTCGTGGACAAAACCTTCAGCTACCCATTTCCAAATCAAAGTGTCTTTCCTGATCACCGTGGGGCAGAAAATCGGGCTCGGCGCGCCCGCTGCTGCTTATGGCGCGTCGGACAAGACAGGAAGTCGCCCAGTCCTCAAATCAGTCATCGTGGGGCCGGAGCTCCGGCTCGGCGCAACCGCTGCTGCGGTCGGCGCGTCGGACAAGACATGAAGCACGTCTGGTAAGCACGTCAAGTTCGCCTCCCCCCTCTGCAACCACCCTGTGAGATGTTACTACTCCAACGGCGCTGCGTCCACGAAATCTTGCCTCAGATCCGCTGCAGTGAAGCATGCCTCTGGCGCTCAATCCGCCGAGCATTCAACTCCCCCCTCCAGGCTGTGGCACTCGGCTTTGATGGGGATTTTCCTTCCCGAGGGGGTGGCTCAGGGCTGTCACCGGGGCGAGCCAGCAGGCCGATGGGGCGCATTCACGCGCACACCTCGCGTCAGAAAATGAAGGCGGATGGTCCATGGTGCACCCGAGGCGCTGGTGGCGTCTCCCTGAGTTCAAAGGCATGTTGCATTCAACTCCCTCAACCACCCAGGTCAAATCAGCGCTTTACCACCATAGGGATGAACTGTAGAGGCGCATGAGAGGTAAATGTTTCAGATGTCTCTCCCCTAGCCACGCTGTGGCGGACTGCAGGGACCCGGTGCGGTGCTTCTCTTGTGGCCGCTGGGGGCATAAAAGCAATGTGTGCAAAGGCAGACCTTCATCCTCCCGGCAACAAGCTCCCCTGCCCAAGACCGCTCCTCCACCATTTGACGACAGCAACTTCCCACCTCTAGGAACGAACGCGATGGCAAGGCCCGGGGACCCCTCTGTCCGTCCTCTGGACACCTGTGCCATGGCCTTCTCCGTCGACGACATGGACCACGAGCTCGACTGCCTCTCCATGCATGGCATGGTGGCCTGGCTGGGGGGGGAATCGGCCGGTGGTGGAGCCAGAGGTCATCAAGAGGGTCATCTGCCACCATTTTCCAGTTCGCCCAGAGGATGTCACCGTCGTTAGGCACGCCCCCGAAGACTTCTTCATCGACTTCAAGCACCGACACTATCGTGACGAGGCTGTGACGCAGGGGACCTTCCCCTATCGCAATCTCGACATCCACACAAGGCCGTGGCAGCTGGTCACGCACGGCGACATCTGCGACCTCAAGTACCGTGTTCACCTGTGCCTGGAGGGCATCCCACTTCACGCCTGGAACGAGAGCATCGCCAAGAGGGTAGCCGCCAGAGCTTGCGACCTGGACTACGTCGAGAAGTCTTCGCTGGACCGTGTGGACACCAGGGCACTCTGTGTCTGGGCTTGGACGCACAACCCGTTCGACATTCCAAAGGTAACCTGGCTGACCTTGTCGTGCAGGAAAGCTGAGTTTCACAGTTCACAACCAGCTCGCGGCCGCCGGGGACTCACCTTCAGGGTGCTGGTGCACCTTGACCTGGTGGAGGACCCACCGAGCAGAGATGGACGTGCTGCTGCTCCCCGTGTATACACGTGGGACTACGGTGTCGTTGATGGGGAGAGGACGCCGTGCGACCGCCACGACCCTCCGCCTGCTGACATCCACGGCGGCCGTCGCGACGACGACGACGACTGTCGTGGGCGCCGTGAACGTCAAGGTGACAACTGGTACTCGCGTCTCACCCGCAGCCTTTCGCGTGCGCCCAAGGACCGGGAGTGGGAGCGTTCATTGTCGAGGCACGGTGGCCGTCGACACCGGAGCCCCGAGCACGGAGGTCGTCGACGCGCACTGGACAACGTCGCTGCTGGCCATGACGCCCGCCTCTCTACACCAAGCAACGCTATGGGTGACAACAGGAGGACTCGACAGTAGCTCGCCAAGCCCGCTGACCCCGGCCACCCGGTGGACGTCCATCGCCGAACCCGGTGTCGGAGCAGGGAACGGACGCCCCATCGCAGGCCGCACAGACACGCGCGTTCGGAGCCAAGGGCCACAACGGAGCGCTCAAAGTCCCCGTCACCACGCCTACGCTGCAAGTTGCCTGACTTCAGTGGTGACAACGGCGACAACCATCACCCATCACCAAGTCCTCCCAAGGTGCGTGCTAATCAAGGTCAATTCGATGATCTGGCAATGACTCCATCGCCCTCAGCCTCTCCAACCTAGAAGCCGGACGCCCAACCTGATGCCGCAGCACTGAGCAACTCTTCTTTGGAGCCGCTGACGGACATTGTACCTCTCTCATGTCTGACTGAATTGCAGGTTTCAAAACTCTAGTTTGGTTTTGGTGAATTGATGAAACCCTAAGTGCTAACCTAGTTTATCAAGTGATCATGATTTAGGTAGCACACTCCAAGTGGTGAAACAAATGAAGATCATAACATGATGATGGTAATGCCATGGTGATGATCAAGTGCTCAGACTTGGAAAGAAGAAAGAGAAAAAACAAAAGGCTCAAGGCAAAGGTATAAATTGTAGGAGCTATTTTGTTTTGGTGATCAAGACACTTAGTGAGTGTGCCACATTTAAGATCGGTAGCCGTACTATTAAGAGGGGTGAAACTCCTATCGGAATGCGGTTATCAAAGTGCCACTAGATGCTCTAACTCATTGCATATGCATTTAGGATCTAGTGGAGTGCTAACACCCTTGAAAATGTTTGTGAAAATATGCTAACACATGTGAAAGACAGAGGTCACTAGAAGTGACTGGACGCTGGCCTCGGTTGGACTGGCGCGTCTGGTCAGGTGTAACAGCGAAGACGCTGGCGTCGGTCAAACGACCGGACGCTAGGTCGCTCAGCGACCGGACGCTGAGAGGGTGCGTCCGGTCAGTGCTGACGTACGCTGACGTAGGGCACACAGAGGAGACACTGTGTGACCGGACGTTGGCTATGTCCGGTCAAGCATGACCGGACGCGTCCGGTCGGCAAAAACAGGTTTTGGACCCTTACTGTAAATGACCAGACGCTGAGGGTCCAGCGTCCGGTCAGCTCTGTCGGAGCGTCCGATCAACATTTCGACCGTTGAGATCAAACGATCACAGTTGAACGCAGGAGACACGTGGCCGCCATCGGGCGACCGGACGCTGAGGAGCAGCGTCCGGTCAGTAGGACCGGAGCATCCGGTCACCCCGATCAGTACCCAGTGAAGGGGTACAACGGCTCTATTTCATGGGGGCTTCTATTTAAGCCCCATGGCCGGGTCAAGCTCATTCTCTTGGCCATTTTCATTGACATAGCAACCTTGTGAGCTTAGCCAAAGCTCTCCCACTCATCTCCATCATTGATTCATCATCTTTGTGAGATTGGGAGTGATCCAAGTGCATTGCTTGAGTGTTTGCATCTAGAGGCACTTGGTGTTCGTGTTTCGCTGCGGGTTTCGCTCATTACTCTTGGTGGTTGCCGCCACCTAGACGGCTTGGAGTAGCGAGGATCGTCGAGCGGAGGGTGGTGATCGTCTCCGGCTCCGATCGTGGTGATTGTGAGGGGTTCTTGACCTTTCCCCGGCGGAGCGCCAAAAGGTACTCTAGTGGATTGCTCGTGGCTTGTGTGATCCTCACCTTGTGTTGGTTGTGCGGCACCCTATTGAGGGTTTGGCGTGTGAAGCCAATTGGCGTGTGAACCTCCAAGTGAGTGAATCGCCACAACGAGGACTAGCTTGCCGGCAAGCAAGTGAACCTCGGTAAAAAATCATTGTGTTCATCATTGATTCCGAGGTGATTGGTCTTCATTGTTATCCACACTTGTGATTGATTGGTTCATACATCTACACGGCGGTATAACCTTCTTGCCTACTCATTACGTTACTGCAAACTAGTTGTCAAGCTCTTTAGTGTAACTAGTTGTGAGAGCTTGTTATCTTCGTTAGTGTGGCTCTTTAGTTAGCTTTTGAGAGCACACTAACTTAGTGTAGTGATATAGCTATTGTGTGGATATACTTCATCTAAACTAGAATTGTGGTAGGTGGCTTGCATTTTGGTAGGCTAGCGCATAACTCGCTTCGCCTCATAATTGTCTAATCCTTTTGTTAAGTGTTGTTGTAGAAATTTTATTAGGCTATTCACCTCCCCATCTAGCCATTAGGACCTTTCAAGTGGTATCGGAGCCGAGGTCACCGTGATTTGAGGCTTAACAACCTTCGGTGTAAAAATAGCTCAAATCAACAACACAAAGAAGCCACCCCAATTTAATGGCTCAAATTATCCCTATTGGAAGGCTAAGATGACAACATATATCAAGTCAATCAATAGGAAGATTTGGAAGGTGGTAGAAACAAAAATTGAGATAGAAGATGAAGAGGCTCCCACCGCCGCCGAAGAATTGCTACTCCAAAACAATAACATTGCTCTTAGTGCCATCCATGATGCTTTGGATGAGAGAACATTTGAGCAAAGCAAGAACATTGAGAGAGCTCATGAGGCATGGAAGAAATTGGAAGAATCATTTGAGGGCACCAAGGCAATCAAGGGTGCAACGGCATACATTCTCAAGGATAAATTTGCTAGTTTCAAGATGAAGGAAGATGAGAGTGTGTCGGACATGTTCCATCGGATGGAAGTGATTGTAAATGATCTCAAGGCACTTAGTGAGAAGATAGAGGACAAGGAATTCTCAAATAAGTTCTTGAGATGCTTACCCTCAAGATTTGGTACATTGGTCACTATTCTAGTGAGGTCCGGTTTGGATACAATAACACCAAATCAAATCTTGAGAGATATCATGACCGATGATGCTTATAGAGATGATGATGAGAAGGAAGAAAAGAGGAAGAAGAAAGATGAGAAGAAGGATGACAAGAAGAAGAGCGTGGCATTCAAAGCCACATCATCCAAGGGAAAAGCTAAGCAAGAAACATCTAGTGAAGAAGATGATTCATGGGATGATGATGATGATGAGAAGATGGCTCTCTTTGTCAAGAGATTTGGCAAGTTCATGGTGAAGAAGGGCTACCGTGCTAGAAGAAAAAAGTCTTCATCCAAGAACAAAGAAGAGTCAAGAAGGTGCTTCAAGTGTGGAAGCAAAGATCATCTTGTTGCTCAATATCCATACAATAGCGACAATGATGATGACAAGAAGAAGAACAAGAAGAAGGACAAGAAGGAAAAGAAAGAGAAGGACAAGATGACCTTTAAGAAGAAGGGTGGTTCATATGTGGTCACTTGGGATAGTGATGCTTCCTCAAGTGATGATGATGATAGTGATGATCACAAGACCACCAAGAAAAAGGCACTTGCAAGCATTGCTATAAATGAGAAGCCTTCTCTCTTCGAATCTTCATCATGCTTCATGGCTAAGGCCACTAAGGTACAATCTTGTGATGATGAAAGTGATGAAGAACATGATGATGAAAATGAACATGAAAATGAGAATGATAGTGATAGTGATAATAATGAACCTACTAAAGATGAATTATTTGACATGCTAGTAGATGCTAGAGAACACTTTGACATTAAGAGAAGAGAATGCAAAAGCTTGCGTAAGGAAATTAAAGCCCTTAAGCAAGCCTTTGATGAGCTCAATGAATCTCATGAGAGGCAAGAGGAAGCCCTTGAGAAGCTTGGCAAGGCTCACAAGAAGCTTGAAAAAGCTTGATGAGCAAAATAAAAAGAAGCATGTTGAAACTTACAATGCAGGTTTAACTTGTGATATAATTGATGAATCATTATCTATGCCTATCATTGTTGCTCCCACTAACCCTTCTTGTAGCACTTCCACTTCCACCTCATCTAGTGGTGATGGTCTCACTTGTGATGCCTCACTAGTGGTTGAGAATGAGAATCTCAAGAAGGAGGTTAACAAGCTCACTCACACTTTGGCTAAGGCCTATGGTGGTGAGGACCGCTTGCTTATGTGCTTGGGTAGCCAAAGAGCTTCTCTCTACAAAGAGGGATTGGGCTATACCCCCAAGGAAGGCAAGGCGGCCTTTGCTCCTCACAAGACTAGTTTTGTGAAGAACAATGGTCAGTTTTGCATTAGTTGCAAGCAAGTGGGTCATAAAGAGCATGAATGCACCAACAAGAGCAAAAATGCTAATGTATCCTCCCTTAAGCTTGATTCATGTTATATGCTTACTAAGGGTACAAATGGTGTGAAGGCTAAGTTTATTGGTAAACCATGGATGGGCTCAAAGAAGAAAACCATTTGGGTACCAAAGAGCTTAGTGACTAACCTTCAAGGACCCAAGCAAGTTTGGGTACCTAAAAGGAATTGATTTTTTTTGTAGGTTAATTACAAAGCCAGAGGAAGGCATTGGGTTCTTGATAGTGGGTGCACTCAACACATGACCGGTGATGCAAGAATGTTCAACTCAATCAACACCAATGGCAATGATGGTTATGATAGTATCACATTTGGTGATAATGGCAAATGCAAGGTTAAAGGGCTTGGTAAGATTGCAATATCCAATGACATGAGCATATCCAATGTGTTGCTAGTAGAGAGCTTGAACTTTAATTTGCTATACGTGGCTCAATTGTGTGATCTTGGATTCAAATGCATATTTGGAGTAGATGATGTAGAGATCATAAGTGTAGATGGCTCTAACTTGATCTTCAAAGGCTTTAGATATGAGAATCTATACTTGGTTGATTTCAATGCTAGTGAAGCTAGATTATCTACATGCTTGTTCACTAAGTCTAGTATGGGTTGGTTATGGCATAGAAGACTTGGTCATGTTGGAATGAAACAATTGAATAGATTGGTTAAGCATGACTTGGTTAGAGGCTTGAAAGATGTGTTTGAAAAGGATAAGCTTTGTAGCTCTTGTCAAGCCGGCAAACAAGTTGGAAACACCCATCCTAAGAAAAGCATGATAAGCACTAGTAAAGCATTTGAGTTATTGCATATGAATTTGTTTGGGCCAACACAATATA